ACTTTCAATGTCACGTGCAGACTCTTCCTAAAATATAAAACCTAAACAGTACATGAAAACAGTGGGGAGCTCTAAACCATCAGACTTTTAAACGGCCTAAATAAGACCCATGAAACTCCACAAAAAATAACCTTACTATTACATCAATGACTCAAAAGTTAAGCAAGTGGCGGCGAAGAGGACAAGTAGACTGCAAAAAAAACAATCGTACTGATATCATTTCAACCGACCGTTTCATAACTAGTGACATTATCCACATTGAACCGACTCGCCAAATTTAGACCTGATTTTTCGCATAAAGGAAGAGCTCGTGCTAACAGCACTAGGATCTGTCCACAGAAAGAGGTATTTACCGTTCGGGACAAACGTTTTAGCAAATCGTTGCACATTCGCAGTACTAAGTTACGGCATGACTCAAAAAAATGCACCTACAAAATAATACAAATCAAAGCTACACAAACCTTCTAAATAAAATTAGAGTATCTTTTGCTTTCCACTCTAAACGAAAAGTGAAACATGTGAAATAAAGGAACTGAAAAAAACAGCAAAGAACTCAACAACGACAATTACATCATGAACCTACAGATTTCCATTGATGCAAGTTGTTTTCCACAATAGAGAAAAATTTCTCGCACTGCTCAATAGATATGACATCAAAAACATCCTGAACAACAGCTACTGTGGCGGACCTTGAACAGAGATCTGAAAGTGTAACCTTGTTTGTTCTAAATTAGTAAAAAACCTCCAACATCAGAATAGCTTTTTAGAACCCAACAGTTTACACTCCAAACGCAACACTTTTGCCTCCTTTTTTAATAAATTCATGGGAGAAATTACCTTCTTTTGCAATTTGAAAAGTAAAGTTAAGGAGCTGCTGAAGCATTTCATACTGGAGAGGTTCATCAGCTAAAGCAATTTCAATAGATTTGCGATGAAGGCAGTTATCGACTTTCATTCTCATAACTTCCGAGACAATCCTTCAACCAAAAAACTGTTAAGGTTTTGTAATTTTAGTGCAGTAATAACTTCAGTCTTATTTCTGTTATTTTTGCCTCCCACCTCACTTTCCTCGTTCTCCGAAAACAATAGCTGCAGAAAAAAAAAAAAGCACATACAGCACCACATGAGCATTTATCTACAAATAAAAGAAGTTGTAAAAAAAACTTGAGTACCTGACTGTTCTCTTTTTTCAATATGGAAAAAAAAGAACTCGAAAATAAGTCATAATACCTTAATATAAAAGAACTAAACAATATTTCAAACGTAAAACATACCCGTTATCTTTCATAGACTTACAGGATGCGCGCAACTGCTCCAAGTTTAGAGCTGAGACTGCCTCATCCATTTTTTACTCCTTAAAAGGAATGAATTGGTAGCGGATAAAAATGAAATGATATTAGTGAACCGCAAGTGTCCTCGACGTATGACAAAGTTTGAAAAACGAAAAAAGAAAGTAAAATTAAAAGAAATCCGTTAACGTTCAATTTCACAACATAAACAGCACTTTGATCCAAAATTAATTTGGAATCAGATATTCGGAATCTTCGGTAAATCACAGTCACAGTAGTCGAAAACAAGTAACTCGTGGAAAAAAATACATCAAGAAAATAATGTTCTCACAAACGAGAAATGTGCGCGCCTATAAAACCTGATGTTACAAAGGCAGCGTCCTGCCTGACCCGATAACGGTGGAAATATTTAAACTGAACTACCGATGCATTTTAACTCTCTGGTCTCCGGCTTCGAAAAATTGTTTTAGATTAGTTCCGTCTCGTTCGCCTTCCGCCTATTCCTCAAGATTTGTGAAGCAACAAAAGTGAAATGCTTGAAAATCAAACATTAACTGCTGCACGACAAGAATTCAGTAGCGTAAAAACATACATGGCAGCAAAATATGATTCCTCCGAATCCAGCTCAACGAGTTTTCCGCCAAGAGTCCAACAAATTATTATCGTTAATAAATCAGATAATAAACTTTTATATACATGTACAATAAGTCACCGATAAAATGCAAGTGTTTTTTTATAAAGCTTTTTGAAACCTTCTGAAGTGCCATTTTCATCACAACAAAATGCTGCCAATATATCTGAATTTATGCCAACACTATCAGCCTCCAGACACACCTGTTGATTTTGACAACCTTCAGCTTCTTTCGTTGTAGCTACTAGAGTCTCCTTACTTAGCTGCAAGGCATCAAACTTATACATGCTTATTACACTGCAGGATTCTTGCTGCTCTTAATACTTGATACTCGCCTGTGTATAAAATGAAGTTTGCCGAGGAGGAGAAAAGAAAAAAAAAAACAGGACTTTTTTTAGTGTTTGATCGTAACTGACGACGAGGTATGGGCGCTTTTAACGATTTTCACAAGAAAACAGTCACCCTTTGTTAAGGAAACTAATTTTTGATGCAAAAAAAATAAGGAGTGAGTTGTGATCCTCCAGCACCAATCAGTCTAATGCAATGGATTGGATATTACGGTTTTTCGCTCAAGACTAGATTATTAAAATATAGAGGAAGTAGACTGCGGCCAGCCAAACTAGGTTGGCACTGTTGCGTACTACCACTCAGATACGTTGCAGGAGGGAAGAAACTGGATCTGATGACCGCATGCTCCATATTTTTCTTTTAACGTATCTTTAGAGTACTGCCGTTGCAGTATTGTTGCAGAAACTTCTCTGTGGAGAGAGCTCCAACATTGCCCGATGTTTCGATGAGCGCACCGCCAACAAAAGCTGAAATCCTAATGAAAATCTGTATTAGACTTTAGTGTGCATAAATTTTCCCATATTTTATATTTTCTATAAAATAAAAACAAAAATCCTAACGTGATGCTGAGAAAATTTTTGGATTCATAAAGCCAAAAGAACTTTGTTGCATGCTGCTTTCCTACAAGGGAATGAAAATTCAAAAAGAGCACAAAAAGCTCAAAAAAAGTGTGGACTGCTTTTTCCAGCTTTTTCCAATTAATCTGGAAAAAAAAATCCGAGTAGCAGTTGTCACTTTCCCATATAACAGGGCAGTTGTGGTTTTCAGGTATAGTGGATTACTCGACAAAAGCATCACTGGTGCTAAGCATGGTTAGAAACAAAAGCTAAAAACGGAAAAGAAACGAAACGATGGCACATCTTACGAACAGCGTTATTGATGGCAGAAGACCGCAGGAAGACCTTGGCTGCTATTTGGTTAATTTTAAAGCTTCGTTGCCGTGAACAAGTAATATCCTGAGCATGCGGCAGAGATTTTCCAGAAACTTTTTCAGTTTGATGACAACTGTTTAGAAAGTTATATTACAGAATGACGTCATTCTGTGCGGTCAAACGATGGAATTCGAAGCTTTCGCAGTAGGAAGCTAGCATAATGCTTTGTTATGGGGAGCTAGAAAAGAAAAAGGATAACAATTTCCCGAACAATAAAGAAAATGATACTTCCAGAATCAAAACTTCACAGAACCACTAATGAAATGATAAAGATCATCTCCAGCTTTCGCACAGTCATTTCCTTTAGCTTCGTCGGAGTCAGACTTGAAAATTCAATGGTGAAAATTTTAAGACTGCACTGTGTATCACGACGTCCAAGCGTATGAAACTTAAAAACAGATGGGACGGTCTGTCGCACCACCGCAGAAGTTTCGCCTTCACACTCACTGATTGTATGAGTTCCAGAAAGCGTATCGAAGCTAAGGCTTAAAGTAAAAATGACGGAAAAATTTCGGTAGAACTTTTATTTTCAGTGATCATTCTGATCACAATAACGAAATTCAAAAATTTCATTTGCGTATGTACACTGGGAGTTGTTCACAAACAGTAAAAAATTTGAACTAATGCAAAAGTTAATAATAACAACCATTTACACAGTTTCAATTACAGCATTCTCAAATTTTAGAATAAATTTACAACTTGCTAGAAAATACTTTGCATATGCGTGATACGAAAGCCATGAAGTAAAGAACAAACTGAGAGATGTTACACATTTTCTTCAGCAAGAAACTTATAGACTATTAAAAACTAAAAGTTACCTTCTTTTTCTGATTACCCCTAACAGCTATGTGAACACAAATAGAGCAAGTTTTTTTTCATTCTGACCGTTTCAACTGTTTTGTCGCTCTACGATAAGTACCCTTCTCTCCTTCCAAAACCTGGCTTATTCTGTTTAAAAAAAACTAAAACATAGTCTTCGAAATACCTACATCACTGGCAATAAGAGCGATAATAATCGTCATCCTACAAAAAGCTAGGCACCCTACAAAGAGTCCGATAAATTTGGAAACTTCGTTTTACTCGTCGATCGCTTACAAGGATCAGAAACTATGACAAGATCAAAATAATAGACGCTGTGAAGAAGCCAGTGAGTTGCCACTTCGAGAAATGCCAAAAAAGATAGACGGATAAACAACCAACTGCTTTGCAATTGATATTGGATGGGATCTGTCGGTCAATAAGCGTTACTCCATATCTTAATGTTTAGAAAAAAATATGCCTTTCTTTGGACTTTCTTATTTCGTTTTCAAACTTCTTCCATCCTATTATTTTTAGGCATTATATTACCTACGCATTTCCTCCAAAGAAAAAAAAAAAAAA